TTTAGGTCAGCGGGGGAATCGCATCTGCGACACCTTGCACAGAAGCCGGTCAGCCCAATCGCATAACAATATAATAATATATTGTCTTATGTCGTGGTGGCCCAGAAGTTTAAGACGCCCGCTTCTTATTCAGCAAAACCGCATTGAGCAAACGTGATGATTAATGCTCAAACTTTCTCTGTGTGAGAAGAGGCTTTGCTCAGCAGTGGGCATTTATATGCTGTTGATGATGATGATGATGATGATGACGATGATGATGATGATAATATAGATATAGTTATGTAAAAACCTATTATCAGACAGATGCGTCAGTAGAAGGGATTTTTATCAATTCACATAATATTTTTTCGCATAAAGACATGGTAAAATCGTTTTGATCCACTGATTATGAGTGCTACACGTCATTAGGTAATTATGTATGTTATTGTTCAAATCATGAAGTCTTACCTGTAAATATTCAGGAGTTAGATGGTCACCTGCCATTAAATCAACAGGGATCTTCTCGAATGGTACATTGAAGATCTCACAAGCCATCATACAGGCACGCACTGGCGGGCTCATATCCAAAGTGTACAGTTTCACACCCATCTGGAAATTGTTATAGTTTTACATTAAAATTATACATTCAGTATTCTCTCCCAGAGTTAAATCTTTATTTTATGGTGCTTGTCCAACTATAATACTGTTGACTGCCAATAATTTTTTCTGATACATACAAAAATATACATAGGATAATCAATGGTTTTTTTGGTCAAACTAATAATTGTCACATCACGCCTTTTGTTCCCGAAGGAGTAGGCAGAGGTGCGCCTTATGCCACACAATGTAACACCCACTTTTCACTATTTATGTTATGAGTCCCATGTAATAGAGGCTATGCCTATTGCCATATACCGGGCCCAATTCTAGACTCCGTGCTACCTCTGAGATTTAAAAAAAAATCCCAGTAATACTTTGCCCGACCCGGGAATCGAACCCGAGACCCCTTGCTCGGTAGTCGCACTTGTGACCACTCGGCTAACAAGGCAGTCAACTAATAATTATTGTAATTCTTCTTACAACACTCTCAAACCTATGTTAGTTCGAAAAAAAGAAGACCAAAGTATATTAGGTTTCACATATTTTTTTTCACAATGTATTAGAAAAATAAACGACGTGACGCATATATACCTTCATAACTATACTTACAGCATTCTACTCCAATCATTCATAAATTTACTAGAATAATAAATATCACAACTACATAATTAATGTACCTCATAAAGTATAACAAGTTATTCTATGTAGAGGTATAATAAACTAAAGAAATGCATTAAAATACATTATGAAAAAGAAAATGGTCTAATATTAAATAATACTTACATTTGTTATGGAGATTTTTCTGTCAAGTATTACAATTTAAAAGACACAACTCACGACTGTACGCCTCACTCGATACTGACCATGATAAATCCGGCTAGCTATTTATAAACGAACACAAGTAGGTACCTATCAGTTATCTTGTTTTGTATTGTCAACATTCAGTGATATGATATCATATTATTTTTGTTGACTAACGTAAAAGGCGGATTCCTAAGGGAACGCCTTAGTGCTGCTATCTTCCGTAAGTCTTCTGTGAAGGTAAGTAGGAAGATCCTTAATGTCAAATACCTAGTGGTATTTTGTATTGTGTAAATTGGTCACAGGGGTTGGTTGCAGGTCGCTTCCAACCAGCCGGCCGGTCTGAAACCCACTGGGGTAGGCCTATATTCATTGTTGGTGTAATGGACGTCTTGTGAATTATTATAATGATGGCTTATTTAATTTGCTAAAATGTTTGAAAATAAACATTTTCTTTATTAACTTTATCTCTTTATTATATTATGCTGCCGATAATAGGACTGGAAGTTCGCCGTTCAATAAATGTCGTTTAAATGTAAAATTAAATAATTTGAAACTTAGGGAGACACTTTAAATCAAATTTTATAGTTTATTTATAAAAAAATAATTGGTAGTTACTATTCACCTATTTAAATATTGTAAATATTTGAATGATTAAAAATAGTACAATATAGTAGCTATAATTTCTTTTACTAGTATTGGTTATTTTATATTCAGTTTTATTGCTTACAGCTTAGAAATTTTTCAAAAAGATGCATAGTTTAATGGCAAATGATTTTAACTAATATCAATGGAGTTTCTTGCTCGTTCTTCTCCATCCGAATCTACATTTTGGAATGAGCACCTAGCTTCACCTAGCTTCACTGACGGAGTGACTGACAGACTATTATTATTTTGTATTTGTTGACGTTTCAAAAGTACCATATTTCTATTTTTCTATTTATTTATATTCTATTACACATATACCACACAATTTTTATCACCGCGCGAGTTAACACGACCACCACGAACTTATTCATTCATCGCGCACTCACGTACGATTAGGACAATGCCTCATCAGAGCAGATATGAATAAAGCCTGATGTAATCATCCAAGACTTTGAAAATAATTTAATTATGGACATGACATCATGTGGTGGAACTTGTAAGCATGAATTGCAGAACTTGAAAGTTAAGGGGTAGGTCCTGTTTGTGTTGTTTGTCTTTTTCATAGCAAAGGTGTAGCAAAAGGCATCCTTTCTATTACATATGGTAAGGCATCCTTTATAACATTAAAGTGCACACAACAAGCTGACAAGTACATCATGACGGATCTCCTCAATGATATGGACGACCGCCTATGGAAAACAGCGACATCAGAAAACAAGAGAACACATAGATATTTTTTTGAGTGCTGAAAATTATACAATGACTTCTCCCGTCTTGGTTGAGGTTAGACAGACTGTTATCCCGTTTCTATCTCTGCTCTTTGAGCCGAAGTCCCAGCAACCCGTTAAGTCTTCCGCGGCTCCGGATCGGGAATCAGCCCTACTGTGGGCCCATCTGTGGTGGTCTTTTCTTTTCTTTTCGCTGCCTCACGCGCCTCCTCCTTAGCATTTGTGGTGGTCTGATGGTTCTTTGTGGCGTGTATGGAACGCGACGTGCCGTACATACGGAATAAGTGAATAACTGACACGTTAAAGAAGCATGCTCGTTTCTTAAAAGTTCAATAATCATATCAGTTAAAAAATCCTGCAGGCGATAGTTCATTCCACAGTTTTTCAGTGAAATGCAGACCATTAAGCAGTTGAGGACTGCCATCCATCAAAGTGATGGGGATATTAACTTATTTAAACTGTCAAACACCAAGCGGTCACCGGTGACCGCAACCTATTGTTCTATAATTGTGTCTACAAAACCGGTACTCGACGAGTTAACCTATCCTGTCTTATTTTATTTTTCGAAAACGACCATGGATTTACGAATTTTTATAATACAGATTAAAAAAAAAAACAAAATTCGTGAATCAAACCTGAAATCTTTTGCTAACTTCGAACTAATATTGATGCGTTTAATGAGGATGGATATCAAGATGTCTGTTTCTCAATCACACTGCAACGGATGAACAGATCTAGAAAAAGTTTAGCACCGAGACAGATTATGGTTTGGAATTACACACAGGCTACCTTTATTTACTATCCCACGAGACTTTAATACCCAATATTACTTTCCCGTGAGATGTACATCTTTGCCCTACGGTTCATTAGAGATTGCCATTGTTAGATGAACGTGTGACAATATTTGTTATGAAAGAACTGTCATAGTAGAACATTATATATGATGACTTGACAAAATTGCATAATAGTGTTTGTTAAATTAAGTATCATCATTAAAGATGGTCAGTTGGTAAATTTTTCTTATCAGTACTTAGATACAGAATGACATGTATATTATAAGTATTTATGCGTACCACATGCGTTTCGCTTAATCATTCAATCAACAGGGGAGTTTCTATGCGGTTAAAATTAAGTAAGATTTTAAAAACTTCACGAGCAAATATCTTCACTACAAGACTGCAGACTGACATTATTTTAACATTTCAATGTTTTGTTTTAACTTTCAAAAGTGCCTGTCTAACTAAAATAAATAAATTTGGCTTTGACATACATCTGAGAGATTTGTTCCTTTTTTAGTGGGGTACCTAAACCGGTAAACGAGCAGAAGGATCACTTGATGGTAGGTAATCGGCGTCGCCTACACCCGGTTTACCAAAGGCGTTACCGGGCTTTTGGGGATTAAGAATTTAAAGACTGGCGATGGGAGGTAAGTTGGCCTCCGGTAACCTCACTCAACTAACTAACTACTTACTGAAGTAGGTACCTACTATAATAGTACTATTATTATGAACTATCAAGTCTATTGAAAGAAAATAATAGTACCCCACTTCTTTCAGGCATTGACTGGTTTAGCGAAGGAAAATTTACTTTTTCACCAAATTGCTAAAAGATTATTACTAGGCGCTATTGCCAATTAACGTTTGTAATTAACATAACATAACATCAAGCCTTTTATCCCCGAAATGGTGAGCCGAGGTGCTTATATGCCACTGTACAATGTAACACCCACTTTTCACTATTTATGATATGAGTCCCATGTAATAGGGGGTGAGCCTAACCAAACCCAGTAATACTTTGCCCGACCTGGGAATCGAATCCAGGGACCACTCGGCCAACGAACGAGTCTTTATTAACAATGTATTGCTTTTTTTCCATTCGCGGCGTACGCAATCGTTGCAGCGTAAGTTACAAATAAACAAACCAACAACATTACATCACGTCTTTTATCCTCGAAGAAATAGGCAGTCGTACACATTATGGCACTTAATGCGGTATGGTTGTAACACCCACTTTTCACTACTTATGTTATTAGCCCATGTTATAGGAAGTGAGCCTCTTGTTATATACCGGGCACAATTGCAGACTCCAGATAAACCATGATACCTATTTTGAAAAAAACAAACAACTTACAGCCGCAAATATGAATAGCAATCGTACCTAGTAGGTAGGTACGATTGCTATTCGGCTAATAAATATATTGTCGTACGACGTTATTAATAAATACAATAAAATAAATAAATTATCTATTGTTACTCAAATAACTTTTATTACTTATTCTTAATCATACATATTGTAACTTATGACGATAAATACTTATATCAAAATTATTTATTTTTTACCAATAGCGTGCATAATGATTGCAGTAAGAGATTTTACGCCTTCTTCGTTATATTTCTTGCAATATGGCGTCGCTTTCATTATTTCTAACCAGGCAACCGTTTTTGGATATCTGAAAAGAAACAAAACATATATTCAGCGTTTCCTATTGGTAAAGCAATTACCTAATTGACGGAAAACTATTTAAAGTTAAATATTTTCATTTAACTTTATAGTTCAATACCTACTGATAAATCTATAGTTAAAACTCAATGTAGAAAAGACTAGCTTAACATGCTCTTATTAACTAATTATGTTTCATTATCAACTTACTTTTCCGGATCTATTGGTAGAATAGGTTCCACAGAAGACAGATGACTTAATACAGCAACATCAGCGATGGTGACATGGTCCAAGGCAATGAATTTAGTCCGGGATAAGAACTGTTCCACAAAACCAATAGCTTCTTCAATGTTGTCCAGCCATTCTTGCTCTATAGCTTTTCTTCCTTTTTGTAGTAGATAGTACTGTAAAAGAAATAATAATGTATTAGTATGTGTAATTCATTATTATGGCTACAAGAATCATGTTTGCTATCAGACCACCACACATGGAGTCCATTAGGACTGATGCCGATACTGAGACGCGGAGGAATTAACGGGTTACCGGGGCTCCGGTTCAAAGTGAAGAAGTAGGGACGAGGTGGTTTTTATTCAGTTTTATTCAATAAGAGTATGACACCTCCTCTTGCTTCACCCGCGCGGGGTAAATTATTGCATGATATCCCCCCCCCACAACAAAAAAAAGATCACGTTAATTATATTTGATATCATCATTATCAACTGCTCATAATCTAAATACTGGACCATAGTCCAGAGGAGTCTTATAAGCCCCTTCTGCATAAGGCAGATTGTAGCATAAGTGAGAAATAATATTAAGAATAACATTGTTCGACCCTCCTCCAGTACGTAGTCTAAGAAGAAGAAGAATAAAGAAACATTTGGTTAGCAGTTTACTTGAGTATTTAAACTAAGAGATAATTAAAAATTTGGACTTTAATTTCTTGAATATCTTTATTATCAAATACTTACTGTGATGATTCGTAACCTCGGGAAAATGACACCTGTGGTGAAAAATAGCTTTTGGTTAACCAGCGCTCGTTTTTTGATATCTTTTGGGTACCATGAGTCGTCCTTTCCGTACGTGTCAGCAAGGTACGCCATTATTGCATGACTGAAAATAAATAAGGAATACGTAAATCCAAATAATGTTTGTTCTATAGATTCGCTTTTTTGCTAACGTCGTTGACTTTAAACAATTTGCTAGTAAGTCTATTGTAAAGGTGTATTGTCAAATTAAGAAAAAAAAATACCAGTGAACAAACCTGTCATGCAATGTCAAATCTCCATCCTCTAATACCGGGATCGTGTGGATCGGGTTTTTCTGCAAAATTAGAAATTTTATTTAATGTCTTTATTACCATAATGTAGTCCAATTATTTAAACACAGAAGCTAATGTTATTGTGGAGGAAACATCTGAATGGGAAAAAGAAAAATGGAAAGTTTTATTCATTGGTATTTGTTTACTTATATGTATTTAGCTACATAAAGATATACATAGATAAAGGTAAAAGTTTAATCATGTAAAGCGTTTAGTATTGTGGTGGAGTAATGGAGATGATGACTAAGTCAATAATAAATATTTCTATGAGTTGATTTTTCTGAAGGAAAATCATCCAGTAACTTCTGCCACTTTGGTTGAGACCAGAGAGCGTCAGACTCTTCCTGACTAACAACCACTCTGTTCCAACTCCTGTTTTGAGCCAGAGCCGCAGTAACCTGTGGTTACATGGGTTGATTTAATAACATAATTATATTTATCTTATTTTATTTCCGTACATTTTTAGCCACTATGGCTATAAAAAAATTAGTGACGCGAACACAATATTACGTCACTAATTGCTGTATTGTTTTTGACATTTAATTAAAAGTTACAATTGAATAGTCTCCTTTATATATCTGTTCTATATTTAGCTTACCTCTACATATTTTGGATCATGGTGTTCTAGTTTTAATAAATCGAGTGTTATCTTCTCAAATGGTACGTTGAAGATATCGAGAGCCATCATACTGGAGCGCACCGGCGGACTGAAGTCTGCAGCGTATAATTTCACACCCATCTGAAATTCAAGCACATTTTGTAAGAAAAGTATTATTTAGTATGTCTCACGAAAGTTACAATACAAATAAAGTCGTATATAACAAAATTATATACTGCAAAAAAAATATTAAGACTGGTTGGTGTACTACGAAAAACAATAAAATAAATAGGTATCTACGAACTCAACAATAATTATACAATAATTACACTCATATGTACATATATACATACATATACACATACATACATACACACACACACACATATGCATACATAGAAACCTGCATACACTTAAATAAACCATAATTATACATCACCTAAAAGAAAACAAAACAGTTTGATGATGAAATAATGTATATGTTATCTATCCTTAATCCAGATTGTTTAATTTTACCTAATGCTCGTTAAGGTAATTAATTTTAATTGCTATGCAAATGTATAGATTACAGAAGGAAACAAAACATATTTAAATAACCACACTCCCATTTAAATATCATAAAAATGTAAACATTTCAATGTATGATAAACAAAATACTAACGAATGTTTCGTATCATAAATTTAAATATATTGTACTAACTACTTCAGCGCGGTTACACACGCTCTGCTCAGTTCCTATTGGTCGTAGCGTGATGTTTTATAGCCTATAGCCAGCCTCAATTAATGCACTATCTAACACAAAAATAATTATTTGAACCAGACTTGTAGTTACGGAGATTAGCGCGTTCCAACAAACAAACAAAAAAACAAACTCTTCCGCTTTACATATACCTCTATAATAGTATAAGAAGTATTAGATAAAAATATATCCGCTATGCAGCAAAAACTAATCATATGTACTCAATACGTATATATAGTAGGTATTTTTTTTTTTGAAGGGGGGAAAATCATCGAATGACTGCTCCCGCCTGGGTGAGGCGGGAGGGAGTGTCAGACTCTTACTGACTAAAAACCACCCCGTTCCTTCTCCTGCACATCGAGCCGGAGCCCTGGTTACCCGTTAGGTTCTCCGCGACATCTATAGTAGGTATACGAACGTCCAAAGCATTCGTAATGATCGTTAGCAACAGTTTTGGTCATTCACAAAACATTGTTAATCAATACTTATATATAGAGGTAGTATACTTAAGAGCAGTACAAATGATTAAAATATTTTTCCGTATAAATACATAGCTATACATAACTATTATTCTTAAAAACACTTACGTTTGTATATGTTTCTATGTAAATATCAAAATGTGAGACACAACACACGGCACACGTTTGTACGTCTCACTTGATGACTGACCAACACAAGGTCACTCTGCTATTTATATACATTATACATTGTACATACCCTAAATGATTTCGGTTATCTAGTAACTACCGTGTCGTGTGTGGACTTTAACCAGGTCGGGACAAGGACGAACTAATTTTGATGATTTTGGAACCTATGCAATTGTGTATATCGCACTATAGTCTACAGGGGGCCTCTTAGTGGGAGCCATTGAGTGACGGTAATAAATAGATATCATTACTAACTCGAGCTTTAGTTTGGTTGTTTAAGTCACTATGTGTGTTATTTTGATTGGTTTTAAAATGTTTCTGTCTACCATTACGAATATAGACATGGGTCAGTTAATATAATTATGTATACCCGTGTGCACCTACGGTATTGTATTAATCCTAAACAATGAGATTGGTTGCCCAGACCTTCTGTATAAGCTGTCGTTTATGTTAGCAGCGGGACCACCCGGAGTATTTTTTCTATAAGGGGGGAAAATAATCGAATGACTTCTCCCGCCTGGATGATGCGGGAGGAAGTGTCAGACTGTTACTGACTAAAAACCACACCGTTCCTACTCTTACACTTCGAGCCGGAGCCCCGGTAACCCGTTGGGCCAATGCCGATTCGGAGTCGCGGAGAACCTAACGGGTAACCGTCTCCCGTCCGCGCGCGCTTCATAGAGACATCAGACCACCATAGATTGAGATTGCACAGTAGAACTGATGCCCGACCGCTACGAATGACGTCGCGGGTTACCGGGGCTCCGGCTCAAACTGCATTAGGAACGTATTAGTTTTTAGTCAATAAAAGTCTTCCAAGTGGAAAATACAGGTACAGGTAATATATTGCTATATTTAAATAGTTCTATGACGTTATTATTTTTGCATTTGTGTTTTATTTTACTCGGTTCATTTCAATATATCCCATAAAAAATCAGGAGAAGCAAACTTTGCCCTTTCCTTTGCAATAGAAGTAGGTGATCGTTGAACTTTGTCCTGCTCCTGACTGACTGTTGTGGAATGAATAAATAACAAAATATAATTATTATGTAAGCGTGTGATAATCATAGGACCAACATGAAGTGTTTATGAATGTAGGTATCATTCGGTTCACCTTGATTTTATTTAATCAGCTCGATATCGTTCGCGATATCTCCAATTTTCGACAATTCTGTTACTAACGTTATTATTAAAAATGGTATCTGATGCACACATATCTAGGTAATAATATGTTATATCAAGTTTTGTTATAAATATTAGGTTATTAGTAAAACAAAAGATTATTCTAATATTCAACTAACTGTTGCCCGGGACTTCGTCCGCGTCGAATATGAATTTGAGAACATAACTATTTTTTTGTTTCAATTCTTCAAAATAAAAGTACATACCCTAGCTGATGTATCAGCTACCTGCCATTGAAAGTCTCGCTAAATCGGTGCAGCCATTCCAGAGATTAGCCAGTCGAAACAGACAGACAGACAAAAATTATAAATATAAAACATTTTGGTATGTCTATGTATAACGTACCTACCCGCAGATATAGTTAGATAGTCCATGCATAAAGTAAAAAGCGGTTATTTAATATTACAAAACAAACACTCCTATTTTAGTTATCTGTATAGATTATCGCAAATTAAATAAAAGAACAGATTAAAATTAATGAATTTATTAATTAAACCTGTCATATATCGCTACAAAATGTGAGTTAAAAATGTTATTCGATACAATCCTTAATATATTTATCGAGGTCTTTAACACCTTTTTCGTTGTGTTTCTTAGAAAATGGCTTTGCTTTCATTTTGTCCAACCAGGAGATCGTTTTAGGGAATCTGAAAAAGATATGTACTTTAGTAGTGCCCGGTACCAATATGGCATAGTGAAAATTGGGTGTTACATTGTGCAGTGGCATTAAGTGTCATAGGCCGTGCATCTCTGCCGACCCCTTCGGGAATAAAAAGCGTGATGATGATGATTTTTGTTTTTCAGTATTTTTGGTAAACAAAAAATTAAAGTCAAAACATAGTTATTATAATCCACATTAATATAAAATTATCCATTAATATACCTATGTACGCTCATAACTTGAGAACGACAGTACCAAGTATAATAATTCTTCATTTTATATGTTCGTTATTGTCAACATTGTATGAAATAAAAATGCAACAACAAAATGAAAAAATATGTAACGAAGTAAGAAAAAAAACAAGTATAAAATGATGAAAATAAAATGGTCATTTAAATGTAAACATTTCATCTTACTTTGTAGTATCAATAGGCTGCATGTGTTCTAGAGAAGACACATTACTGAAAAGTGCTAAATCTGCGATGGAGATGTCATCTCCGGCAATGTACTCAGTTTTAGACAGAAATGCTTCTATGAAACTGTACGCTTCCTCGATGCGATCCAACCATTCTTGTTCTAACTTCTTGTATCCTTTTTGTAGAACGTAATACTGCGAAAAAAACATGAAGAGATAAAAGAATAGATGTTATAGTATAAAAAATGTTCATAAATGAAACAGTAAAAAGTTTATTCAAGACTGTGGACCTAATTTTTCGAACGGACAAGCCAGCCACAACGTCTCAAAGTCGCAGCAATTCCTGTAAGCCAGGATTTGCAGTAGATATTATCATGAAAACACCGAAACACTGAAGTCCGGGACGTCCCAGGGACATGAATAAATTTCTTGGGTCCCGCAATGAAATAAAAGATATTATTAGAGGAAAAGAAAAAAATAAATGCTAGTTTCCACTTCTCTCGTTCAATTACAGCAGAAAGCAGAAGGAATTAAGCCTGAAGGCACACAAAGAGGCTGCACAACTGGGACAAGCCCAGTCGCCAAGCGCCAGGGAAATATGACTAAAAACTAAGTAGGCCCTAGATGTGAGGTGTTAAACTTGTTGTTTTCAAACAATACAATAATACCAGAATAAATTCAACATTATTATCAACAAGGTAGTGTAATACTTACAGTAACAACGCGTAATTTACTAAAAACCACAAATGCATTGAAGAATAGTTTGTCATTGACAGCCGCACGTTTCTTAACGTCTTTTGGATACCAGGAGTCGTCTTTAGCGTAGGTGTCAGATAAGTAAGCCATGATTGCGTGGCTGGAAATGAGAACGAAATACATTCAACAATTATGTTGATTTTGATAATCTGATGTTGACAAAAATAGCCTGATAATCGGGCCTCGGGGCCCGTGCCTAGGGTCCGTATTCTCAGGGGGTCCCGAGGGACTAAAAATTTCTACGACGGACGCACACCTACTACAAATTGCACAGCAACCGACTGCCGCGAAAATTGTAATGGGTTCAACTTCCGCATGAAGCACATCGTTGTGTGCACCACATTGTGAAGTTTGTTGTGTCGTGTAAAAAAACATTTCTCACAAGGCCCTGAATTTTTGTGTCCAGGGACCCAGCGTTATCTAAGACGGCCCTGCTGATAACTCCATTTTGTGATTCAGTAAACGTGGCACCTATGTGTTTAAATCTAGTGGAGACACATGTGCCTTGTTCATAGCTAAATGCATACAAATTTAATTAATAGTTAAATTTAATGAAACAAACCTGTCACGTAAGATTAAATCTCCATCCTCCATAATAGGGATTGTATGCATAGGATTTTTCTGTAAAAAGTAACACTATTATTAGAAAAATAAAACTTTTTAAATTTAATAAGCGCAAATGGTCAGACTGATCGCCTAATACTAAGTAATCAACACCACCCATTGACCCTGCTACATTAGAGAAATTGCAAGTGAAAAGAAATATTACAAGAAAAATATTTCATTCGATCTTCGAAAACGGCACAATAATGCACACATGAATACGTTAACAGCGCAACGCAACACTGAGGTAACACGTCCCACTTTTTGAGCGCTTGTATCCTATCTACAATTTATTATTATCATTGGGTATATGTTACCTACCGCTAAATATTCTGGAGTATGATTTTCACGTTTATATAAGTCAAGTTCGACCCTCTCATATGGAGCGTTCAAGACCTCACAAGCCATCAAGCACGCACGCACTGGTGGGCTGAAGTCCATAACGTATAGTTTGACAACCATCTGAGAAGAAAGATATAAAATTTTAAAGTAAAATTCAAAATTATAAATATCTAATTAAAAAAAACAAAAAATAAAGTCGTCAATTTGGACAGGGCAGGTTGCAGGCGTTGTTTATCTTCCAGGAATTTTATCTAAATTACGATTACACTTACAAATGAATTATTTAAAAACTTCCCGTGTTACTGACAGTGGCTTGCTTAATAATAGATACTAGGATTCTTTAAAGAAATAAATAATTACATTCACTTTTCAAATGGCCAAATACACAAACACAACAAGCTGCCAAATCGTGTTGTGTTTGTGTATTTGGTCATCTGGTCACGTCTCCGTAGATTACTAATTAACGAAAGACAAAAATTTACATATTTTTTATAAAGTAATTCGGAAGCCTGGTGTTTATTCTTATCTTGAACTTTGATTCTGATAGTAAAGATGTGATTATTAGATAGATAATTTGCTTTACGCAATAAAAAGCACACAATAATAAAAAACTGGTGATCTGTGATACAGGTCTCACCTACAACAGACAGTCTCAGGTTTATTTCTAAAATTGTTTGCTGTTGTTAAACTGTTAGTAGTGATAGTGAAAGAAACAAATTGATATTTTTATTAATTATAGGTACAATTGAAAAAATTGGCGGTCGATCATCATACGGCGATATTCGCATGCACGGCCCGACCGACCATAGGAAAAACAGGGCGGACTTTGCCACAAAAGATTTGTCTAAATAGTGTACTATTGTGTGTGAACTTTGTCGATAGTACAAAGCAAGATTTACACGGAAAGACTTTTTATTATAGTATTTCATCATTAGAAATTATAAGCCCAGGTTTCCTCACGATATGTTTTCCTTCACCGGTTGGCCAGAATAGGTGTCTGAATAATCTTAGAAAGTTATTAACAATAACTTAAGTTATTGTTATAGTAATTACTTAAAACTCTAAAACAAATTAAGTGGCAGTTTGATTCCAAATCAAACGCTAATAATTTTTAACAAAAATGCAATTTCATTATCATCATGGCATAGTTCTGAATTAATAGAAAATAAGTATGTGTGAATTAGATTATGTATACTACATAATCTGCCGATTCGGAGTCGCGGAAAACCTATCGCGTTACCGGGGCTCCGACTCGACGTGCAGGAGAAGGAACGGGGTGGTTTTTGTCAGTAAGAGTCTGACACTCACTCTGACAGTGATATGATTGCAAAATAAATAAAACACAAATGGGCATTAGTAAAATACTTAAATAAACCACTGTTCCAAAAACCACTTACTCCTCGTACTCTTGCTAAATACTGAACCGATTTGATGCCACTATTGTTAGTGTAGAAAAGTTAAATTAACAGTAATAGTACACCAATGGGTAATCCCTTAAAACCTCGACAGTCACCTTAGGAGGCTGGCGTTAGGCGATGAATCAAGGGGCCTGATACAGAAGGCACTCTCCTTGAAACGGCACGTACCGTAAGGAGGTTTCTGTCTCTGGAACCCTAACCACCAGTGGTAGGACCATGCTCTTACAACTGGTTGGCTCCTATTTTTATGTTTTTAAATATTATTTTTTTGTAAGCAATATTTATAAATGTCATTTTAGAGAATTTTAAATAAATATATAAAAATAGTACACCACATAATTATTATGAGTCAATAATATAATAATGCGGCACAGTTCCTACTCTATGATGTTCATATAAAAAGCACAATACTTATTTTTTATAAATTTCAAATTTTCTGACAGAAAAAATCAAATGAAATGTCAACGATTTGACAAAAAATAATAAAGCATGATAATTAGTTTCAAAACACTTACGTTTATAGTTTGTTAAACATTAATTACGGTTACGTTACACACAGATACGACACGACACGCCTTAGTACGTCTCAATCGGTGACTGTTAAAGCCAAAGCAAATGTGTTATTTTTATACGCGATCCCAAATACTAATCTAGTGTTATCTTGGGTTTATGTTTTGATTTAGGAAATTATGTATAAGAGATAGCTCAAATCAGCTGTAAGATAATCACCTAGCTAAATCCGAATATAATAAACGTTTAAAAAGGATATATAATTTAGTTTGTTTTTAAACATACAGAACCACCTGTGTTGGTCCAACTCATAGCAACTTGGCTTGATTTCCATTATCTTAAAAATCTGTCTATGAATATAATATTGAAATTAATGGCATTTAGATTTTTAAAAATAGCATTTAATATTTTTCCGCAGTCTAGCGGTGCATTCAATAGCTCTTTTTCGAAGACATGTGAGAGTTAACTGGTGAAAAGTGGGCCTGATATTTGTATTTATATTATTTATAGCCGTTCGAAGATTAAAAGGCGTTATATAATAATATAGAGGTAAATAAAATAACAAAGCACCAAGTAATCATTCGTTCAAACTCCAATAACGAGTTGATATAATTTGCCAAGTCATTGCAGATAGACAGATTTTTTATCAGTAAAATACATAATAATATACCACACTGCGGAATAGTTTTGCCAAATCATTTGACCAACGTGGATTGGCTAGATAGATGCTTTGTGGATTGACCTCGACTTAAATTTTTATAAAAATAGCCATGATGTAACGACAATTTGAGTAGGATACATTTGTCCTTTTCATACTTGTTTATTATTTTTGACCGTTAGACGTGGTCCCTAACTTCTGGCATTTCTGGATGTCCGTCAGCGATCACATTAGTATTATAACTGTAAAAATTTGTTTATTTGACAGCCTCGTCAACTACATAACATTACAGCAATCTGAAAAGTACTTTTTTACAGAAATAAAACAATATGCTACTGAAGTTTCATTTGTTTATTTTTAACTATAAATATATTCATACGTACGGTACGACACAGATTTCAAATATGCACAGTGCAAAGGTTTTTTAATTACAAATTAACACTTTATATTTCCATTTTAATAATTTCAGGAAGTTAAAAATTTATTAAGAAGATCATTCAGAGCCTTTGCGCCTTCTTCATTACGTTTCTTAGCATATGGCGTCGCTTTGAAATCTTCTAACCAGGCAGATGTTTTAGGATATCTGAAACAAAAGATAATATTTTTAATTCTTGATATAACAAACCTTTTGAAATGCAAACAGAACTTGGCATTATGGGCGAATAATGTACGTGATGGGGTCTGACAAACAGGAAATAATGAAGAAAATAACATATTAATGAAAAATTAAATTAATTTAGGACCCTCTTTGCAGAAGATACACATGACCTTGAGTGTTTCACACTCAAATGCATACCTTTTAGTTCCACAAGGGAATACAGGACAGAGCGGCCTGATTGGCTTACTCCAATGAACCTACCAATCACAACGCTAAACGCGGTCTCGTATCGATTACTTTAAACGTAGAACAAACTACTAACGTACTATCAAAGGACTAGTTTGCATGTATTTTTTTATGTAAATAGTTTTTAAATTTCATGACTAATTGGTATGTGAGAAAGGATAAGTGCCGTTTTACTTACTTTTTAGCATCAATAGGTAAAATATATTCGTGATTGGTAAGATGACTCAAAATTGCTACATCGGCAATCGTGATATGGTCTCCAGCGATATATTTCGTTTTGGACAAGAATGCTTCCAGGAAATCGTAGCCTTCAGTAATGTCATCCAACCAGTCCTGTTCTAGAGTCTTTCTTCCTTTTTGGAATACATAATACTGTGAAAATAAGCAATGTTACATCTTTATGTGATAACTAACATCTGCCAGTGGCTTCGCCCTCGGTGTCGTGGGCACGCCCGCCGCTAGCATTCGAGCACCCGCGTGCAAATATCGATTATGCCGCCCCCCTTTTTGTAGTTTGGGTAAAAAGTCCTCAAATTACTCTTGACGAAGTGACTCCTACAACTCTTACTAACTAAAAACCACCCCATTCCCTCCAACACTTGCTCAAAGCCAGGGCTCCAGTACCCATAATGACAGCCTACCCTCCAGCAAGGCAACAATCCTGTCCCGTCTGTGGTGTCTGATGAAGTAATGACTCTTTGAGGCCTGCATTTTACACGACGCGCCGTACGCTCGGGTCTGCTACGTGTCAGGTGATCCTTGCTTGCCGTCCGCAGACTCGCGCTTACGGTGGCGGAGAAGGCGACGCGATACTACACCAAAAGCGTCTCCTGCGGCAGAGGTATCTCGAAAATGTAAGAAAATACTCGATAGGTTTCGAGTAAGTCCAGAAAGTAATCGAGGACGCTCGATAGATTTAGAGTAACTCTCGAGAGTGATCGAGGACGCTCAAAAGTGATCGAGGACGCGCGATAGTGATCAAGAACACTCGATAGTTTTAGAGGAAGCTCGATAGGTTTCGAGGACGCTCGAAACTGATCGAGGACGCTCGATAGTTTTCGAGGACTCTCAAAAGAAATCGAGGACGTTCGATAGTTTTCGAGTACGCTCGAAAGGTTTCGAGGACGCTCGAAAGTAATCGAGGATGCTCGAAAGTGATCGAGGACGCTCAATAGTTTTGAAGAACGCTCGATAGACTTCGAATTTAAGGCGCTACTGACCGGTATATGGCCTCAAACGTAATACACAACGCTAATATTGCTTGCGTTGAGTAGGATTTTTTCCCGGCGATGATATTTCTTATGCTTTCTGCTTACTCTGGACAATGATTTTGAATATTAGGTAATGAGTCGCTCGATTTGGCGCCCCCATGATCGTGTGCCCGTGTGCTGTGCACGCTTTGCACGCGCTCTTACGGCGGGCCTGGACGTGTGTTACAAAATGGCCGATGTTTAAATCCAGACGATAATCTAACTCTGTTCCAAATTTCATTTCGATTTCTTCAGCCGTTGTAAAGTCAAACAAACATTCACATTTATAATAATTAGTAGGATTAAAATCATTATTGAATTTAACTTTTTAGGTACACATTTACTATAATGTACTTGTATACCAAATATAATTTGGTCACTTCTCTACTGCTATGTTTCCTAAACGTATGTCTATTATGATGGACCATGTACGTTTTACTGACAAAATTTTAAAATGCAAATCTTTAAGATCTCTTTACTATATGGACTTGCATCTAAAGGCTAATTCTTTGTCACAGATCAAACATAGAAAAGAGACATTGTATGTTGGTAGAGTATTATCTTTATGGTACTTACTGTGATGTTTCTTAATCTACGATAAATAACAGCTGTATTGAAGAACAGTTTTTGGTTAACTAGTGCTCGTTTCTTGACGTCTTTTGGATACCAAGACTCATCTTTTCCATAGGTATCAGCTAGGTATGCCATTATTGCGTGGCTGGAAATAAAGGAGAAATCAGAGAATGTTTCTGTTCTAACTGCAAAAGGCAGGTAACTATACCTACACACATTAGTACATTATATTTTATTTAGAAAACCACAGTCCAGTTGGCAGTCCTAACTCATGTGCTTTTAGGCTTAAGTCATTCTGTCTCCTGCTAAAATTCACCACGAGAAGTAAAAACTATCGTTTTTTCTTCTTCTTCTCTAATAATATCTTCTGATTTATTTCGCTGCGGGAACAGAATACGCGCTGGACTTTAGTGTTTTTATGGTTTATCTACTGTAGATCCTGGTTTACAAATGTTGCAGCGGATTTGGAGGTTATGGCGGGTTGTCCCATTAAAAAAAGTTCAGCTCATGAACAGGTTGGCAGTTATGCAAGTGAACATACCTATCGTATAATATTAAGTCACCATCTTCTAGAACAGGAATTGTGTGCAGAGGGTTTTTCTGTAAAAATAGATACATTTATTCATCTAAATATAATGAAATCATTAAAACCGATTGTGCGGTTTTTAATAGTTTTTTTAGTCTCAGTATCAACGAGATCTACCTCGTTCAGGTATATAAATAGTTGAACTTCTAAATAATAGTATTGCCAAAAACATTTCCTTTACCTCTAAATACTCGGGAGTAAGATTTTCACCTTTAAATAGGTCGACTGGAATCTTTTCGAATGGTATGCCCAAGATCTCACAAGTCAACATGCATGCTCGTGACGGTGGACTAAAGTCCATGACGTATAGTTTCACACCCATCTGGAGAAAAACATGCACTTTATAATTACAAAGACTTAGAACAAATAGAAAATGTAAGAATGGAGTGATGAAATTATATGAAACAATTTATCATGATACACATAAACACGTCAATGTTTTAATCTCTGAAGCTATGAAATACGCGATTTTCTAACTAACATTTTTGGAAAGACAGTACAATTTCCATTGCAATAAGGTTGTTTTAGCAGTTGTACCTCTATTATTCATTATCAACAACAGCCCATAGTTATATGGATCACTGGTGGACTTTGTATAGGCGTAGAGGAATCTACGCAGTTTATCTCTAAGAGCAGTTTTTCCACTTTTTCCAGGCAAGGTCACAGTTTTTATTAGGAAGGTTCAGGTTTATCAGAGTTCTGTTTATCAGTCTCTATTATATAGAAGCTGGATACTAAGACCAGAGTTCTGACTGCCCTAAGATTATATCCTGAGTAGGTATATCAGAATAGTTAAACTGATGAATTAATTAACTAGGCAACTTCTTGGTGAGTATGCGGAACAAAATTATATTGTTAGAGTATTATGTGGTTACATGAATCATATCGGTATACTTATGTTTATTTTTTTACAAACAAAACATTCGATATCAATAATCTTCTTTCAACAAAAAATTATATGGCCTTGGATGTCGGGCGTTGGGCCTCGGTGCTGTTGTGACGCACTGGATAGGCCAATACGCGGGAGCAAGCGCCTGACTAAACTATTATATTTATGTATATCTAACAATATGCTAAGAATATTGTAACTACTATTTATTTTTTTGTATGTTACTATTTTATTTCTCATTGTTGTTTATATTTTAATAACAAATGTGGACTTAGTCTGAATAACGTTTAATTATTATTATTATTTAGAAAAAAAATACGATAAGATACTTACATTTGTATTTATTTCGGTGTAAATATTACGCAATATGTCAAACACGACACAGTACACACCGCTGCCCGCCTCTCTTGATTACTGATCTAGACAAGGTCAGGATGCCGTTTATATAAACACAAGATTCAATTTTTTATCTATTCGTATTAGGCATACCTATCGCATTGTCTTTGGACAATAATAATAAAATATGATAGGTATGCGATACGTCTTAACTTAATCCGAACAATACAAAAATAAACTTACCTACATGAATTGTTTTAGAAGGGTTGTATCGTATGCTTTTAGTGTTTCTTAAAGTTTATAGGTATTTAAAGCCATGAAATGAGTTGGATGTGTTGGAATTGCTATACAGATGTTTTGTAAATCGAATTACAGGGCGGAATATATTTTAAAAATTTCCATATTCCTTACTCTCGTCACTAGTATCATTACAGCTGGTTAAGGGCGTACACATTGGACTGAAAGCTAAGACTGGGTAGCATCGTTCATTGATGATTATAAACCTCACACTGTGATTTCCAACGCCCTTGCATACGTAGAGATTACGGAAAATTCCTCTTATTAATATGTAGAGAAGATCTATAATTCAGCTTTAGAATATCACGGGCCGTTGATGATGATGTTAATGTGTCTCTGCATTTTAGAAGTAAGATGATTATTAATCATCTCATTAAAATTTTCACAGTATGTTACTTGTAGAGTATTTAACACACTGTGTTGTCACTGTGGTGCTTGTGATGACAGAATTGGATGTGGACCCTAACTACTGGCAATTGGCTCTCCAATAAGTCTTTATTCATTGTTTCATACGATAATAGTACCAGAATTCGCCAATGGAAAATTGTATAATGGTTTTATTTCAATAAATAGACCCAGATTTCATAAAGGTAGTTTAATCACAGGTAGTAAATACAATTTAAATATAAATTAAACTTTAATAACAGCATAGTTATGAAGAAGTTAAATGGTCATTAATATAATTGAACAGAATCTTGGCACCTTCTTCATTATATTTCTTAGCATATGGCGTCGCTTTGAAATCTTCTAACCAGGCAGATGTTTTAGGATACCTGAAATAAAAGTTTTATTTAACTCGTCGAGTACCGGTTTTGTAGACACAATTATAGAACAATAGGTTGCGGTCACCGGTGACCGCTTGGTGTTTGACAGTTTAATTCTTCGTAGACTAGTTGCCTATTCAATCCGATATATTCAATATAATTTTTTACTTTGTCTATATATTAGATTTATATTGAACTAGCTGCTGCCCGCGACTTTTTAATTTTTTCAGAATAAAAGAAGCGTTACTCCTTAGTACAGTAGGTAATAAAAATTTTGCAAAATCGGTCCAGCCATTCCAGAGATTGGCCAGTACAAACGGACAGACAGACAAAAATTGTAAAATATTTTATTTATTTATTTATTTATTTATTGCAAAATGTATATATATAGTGGTATTATACTACTAGTACAGTACATCACCCTGTTAGGGCGCAGCAATTTAACTTATAAATAATAACTAAATAATCATCTACCTCTAATATATTATGTACTTATTCTATTCATTATTAACTTAATTACTCACTATAAACTTTTATTTTGCTATATGTATCATTTGTATATTTATATGTATGTAGTAAAAAGTGGTTATTTTAATATTACAAACAGACACTCCAATTTTATCTATCAGTATAGATTTAGTATAAAATTATACAAATAGGGGGACCTCTTCTTTATTATCGACTAAGGAGGAAGGAAACATTTTAGTCAAACACTAAACCAATTTATGTTCCCCTTTGCAGAATATAAAAATGGCCTTGAATGTAATGTAATATCGTTCTTAGATTCTAAGATGTACTCTTATATATTTTAATCTTAGAAATATAGAGTAATGGTACTAGTCTCATAACATCTAATAACACGTTAACCACTGCGTAGGTTAAAGATGCCCTACGTTAGCGGAAGACGTGCCTTCAACAGTTTTCTGTCGGCATTCAAAAGTTAAAAGAGTTAGGCATAAGATACCATTACTTACTTTTTAGCATCAACTGGTAGAATATATTCGAGAGTAGTTAGAAAGCTCAAAATTGCTAAGTCAGCAATCGTGATGTGATCTGCAGCGATGTATTTCGTTTTGGATAAAAATGCTTCCAGAAAACCATAGGCTTCAACAATATCATCCAACCAATCTTGTTCTAAAGTCTTCCTTCCTTTCTGTATTACATAATACTGTGAAATATATATCTAAATTAGGTCGTTTTGGGTGTGACATGTGTTTATTGAAGCTTTTTAGACTTTCCTTTTTTGATTGCTTACCAATGCGTTGCTTATTTATTTTGTTTTTTTATAGGATAAGCCGGCAAACGAGCAGCCGAATCACCTGATGGTATGTATTCGGCGTCGACCATGAACACCTGGAACACCAAAGGTGTTACAAGTGCGTTACTGGCCTTTTGGGATTAGGAGTTTGAGCATTGTTGGGGATTTAGGGATTGGGGAAGGGGGGGGGGGGGGTAATTGGGCCACCAGTAACCACACTCACATGACGAAACACAACACAACACAACGTTGCTTCACGTCGGTCTTCTGTGAGGCCGTGGTATCACTCCGGTGGAGCCGGTACATTTATGCCGAAACATGGCTCTCCCACACTTACGAAGTTTTATGTTGTAGAGATTATGAATAATCAAAGACTTACTGATATGATTCGTAATCTACGAAATATAACAGCTACATTGAAGAACAGTTTTTGGTTAACTAGTGCTCGTTTTTTGACGTCTTTTGGATACCAAAATTCATCTTTTGCATAGGTATATCAGCTAAGTAGGCCAGTATCGCGTGGCTGGAAATGAAAAAAGGAGATAGACAATTTTTTAATTTTCAGTTAAAACTTGTTTAAATGTGAACTACTGACCTATCGTATAATATTAAGCCACCATCTTCTAATACAGGGATTGTGTGGAGGGGATTTTTCTGTAAAAAATAATGCATTTCGATTCGATTTCAAAATAATGCATGCAAAAAAATAAACAAATCAATAACATTAGTTCCTGAGCTGCGTCTTGTACCTAATATTTATTTCATCAAACATTTTGAAAAGATGAATAAATATTTTGTATTGAAACTTAAAATCATTAAGTATATTATTCTCTTAAATCAAAGTAAATATTACCTCTAAGAACTCTGCACTTAGATGTTCATTGTTAAATAGATCGACTGGGATCTTCTCAAATGGCACTCCAAAGATATCACATGCCATCATACAAGCTCGTGATGGTGGACTGAAGTCCATAGCGTACAGTTTGACACCCATCTAGAGAAAAAAACACATTTTGTTTTCGTTTTGTTTCTATAAGAAATTTTAAAACGGAGAAAATTGAATTTTAATCTCTTAAACTGTCAAACACCAAGCGGTCACCGGTGACCGCAACCTATTGTTCTATAATTGTGTCTGCAAAACCGGTACTCGACGAGTTAAATTTGTTTAACTTCGCCTGCAACAATTGGGTAGTTTTCAGGGTATTAAAATTAAAAATCTAATTAGTCCGTCAGTTAGATAATGAAAAAATATTAGACACGGATTTTTTTTATTTTCTCGTATTAAGTTGCAATACTTAGATAAAATGGCGCTAAATTTAGGAGTGGGAGGTTGTAACGTCATAGCGTGCTACAAAATGTGGCACGTTGTGACGTCACACAATATTTCAAATTAATATACCGTCGAAAGTATTTAATTTTGTGAGAAAATAAAAAATACGTGGCCAAAGTTTTAAATTAACTCGTCGAGTACCGTCATTATAGACACAATTATAGAACAATAGGTTGCGGTCACCGGTGACCGCTTGGTGTTTGACAGTTCAATGTACCAGACGGACATTAAAACAAAATTTAGGAAACTACCCTATTGCGTAAAAATCCTCCAGTCAGAAAAATAAAATATGAAAGTTATAAATACATATATATGTACGTCACTCACATTTTGTATTTATTTATGTGTAAATATTACGCGATACGCAAAAACCCAACACACTGTTGCACGTTTTCCCTGATTACTGATCAAGATAAGGTCAGAATGCCATTTATATAAGCAAGGACTTTTTTATCTATCAAGTACATATAGTGTTACTTAGCCTAACCGAACAAGTTTATACTTGTTCTTGGGAGACTACATGTACATACAGTTTGTCTATTTATTCATGAAAAGCAATGAGGAAATGAGGGCGCCACAGGTTGATAGTACCTACTAACCAAATAAAATCTGAAACTAACCTATAAATAAATCTGCATTTCTTATTTTAGTCATAAAATCGTTTATTTTGTAGGTTTTTCACTTCTAGCAGATAAAATATAAATAGTAATACGATTCTTACCTGTCGAACAGTGGCTTTTCAATTTGTCCAGCTTCTTGTACTATTGAAAATCACTTTATACTCGAAATACAATCAGTCGAGCTCTATTTCGAATTGTTCTTTTGCATGTTTAATAAACTTCTTTTAAGTTTTATTCACCTCAAAACGACTCGCAAAACAAACTGAATCACAGCTGATGACAACGTACCTACCTACTTTCATTGGGCGTTGCTGTGTTCCCATAGTTTTAATGTTCTTAGTTCCTCAAACATTCGTCGTCATTCTTAAATACACAAACTATATACGTAACATAACATAAAACACATTAACTCCTTTTATTTGCCGAAGGATCAAAGGTAGATTCAAAGGAACAGTCAATGTAACACCTACTTTTCACGAGGTTATTTTCTCTCTTCTTGCTTCTCAAGAGCAAAGTACAGCCATGATAAGCAACCCCTAATTACTTTGGACAGATTATGTCATATGCCTTTTACTTCAGTTTGTAGAAAAAACATTAATTAAATCGACTCAACATCTCCTATATGTCTATAAAACGAATTTCTATAGAAGTGTAGATATTCAAGGTAAACCAGGTGTTTAGTTAGTAATGTAACTACGAAGAAAGTTAGGGACGTGCAACAAGGCACCGGAGTAACTTCGGTTGCCATTCAACACACAACTTGCCCACATGTCCATTGTAGTACTCATTGTATCAACATCTTGAGACCGTGTCTGTCTCAGTTTATGGCATCGGTCCTTTGTGAACCACAGCTATGGCCTGGCACGATAGTTTATGTGGTTACTTTACTAACAACCTGATATGGGCGGACATTTATCCAAGTTTGAGTTATGTAAGATTAGTAGTACTAAAGTAAAACCGTTGACTGCCTCTCGTTGGGCGAGTGGTTGCAAGTGCGACTGCCGGGCAAGAGTTCGATTTCCAGGTGGGGCAAAGTAATACTAGGTTTTTTTTTAAATGTCAGTGGTAGCACGGAGGCTGGAATAATGTTCGGTATATGGCAATACGGCTCACCTCCTATTAGTGAAAAGTGGGTGTTACATTGTACAGAAGTATTAAGTGCTCCAATGTGCACCTCTATTATATTTAAAATTTTTAGAAAAAGTTTGCCGGAACAGCCATAATAGATATGTAAAATTTCAATTTCAAGAAATTGCGCAAGAATGTGACACTAGACCTCCCCTGCGGTCTAGATAAAATATAATTGATTGTGATGAGATAAGTATATGTTGTGGTACGAATTTAATAATTATCTCATGCAGATAAGAATCATCGTTACAAAGTCCACCATAATTATTCGTTGTCATTGGTAGTTTTTTTTTTATGTTATGAATGTATTAGCTTTTTGCTTAGTCATTCGACCAACGAGGTGTTTCTATGCAATTATCAACTGTATGACCTTTGTTTATATTGAGTTGTTTTTTTTAGTTTACTTTGTTCAAAATCAATGTTGACTACATTTAGAACCCTACATGCTGGTTTAACTAGAAAAACGGAATTTTTCATCGTCCTATCTTATTTGGACACATCGATTTTTATTGCCATTAATAAAATTAAAACTAAACAGTTTTCATTCCTCTTTATTTATTTCAGATTTTTATCATAGATTGAGATATTATAACAATTATTTGGTCATCACATCAATCAACCAGATCACTAATTTCAATTAATTTAATTATTATTAATAATTTAAAAAGTATTCAAACATCCTTTTGAATATTGTTTCTGTTAAGAATTAAGAAGAGACACTCTTTTTCACATACGCCCCCAAAGCGTTCGCACCTTCTTCATTATATTTCTTACAATATGGCGTCGCTTTCAATTCTTCTAACCAGGCTTTCAATTTTGGAAACCTGGAAAAGAAAATAATATTCCAAATCAATATAGAAGACCAACAAAACATTCAAAAAAGGAAGATGAAAATGTTACATTTTCAAAAGTACACAAATGGTAAACTATAGAGATTCTTTGTTGACAAAATTTTGTTGAATCTATAAAAGACCTTGAAACATTTGTCCCTAGAACAACAATAGTCTCGCGTGGCTGGCTATGGTGGAACAGGCTGAGAATACAAAATCGAGCTACCGTAGGTGGAGATGGTCAAACCAGATACTACTATAAATATCAAGATGGTGTGATCAAGTGACCAGAGGTTCTGTAAGGTTCAGGAAAGGCAACTCTGGATAACCGGTACAATGAATCTTGTCTTCGATAAAGTATTACCATTGGCATTCTACGGAATCGCGTTCTCAGCCGTAAAAGGAAGACGAAGAAGAAGTAGGGAAGATAATTTTTACTTACTTTTGAGCGTCTATTGGTAGGATAAGATCTTGAGTGGACACAGTACTCAAAATTGCTATGTCAGCGATTGTAACATGGTCTGCAGCGATATACTTTGACCGGGATAGGAACGCTTCCATGAACTCGTAGCCTTCTGTGACACCGTCTAACAATTCCGGTTCTATGGTCTTCTTTCCTTTCAACACGATGTTGTACTGTAAAGAATAAATACGATTTGACACATGCTAGGTAAAGTAACCAGTAGTCCAATTTTTATTTTTAAATTGTAGCTCATAATAATTTGCATTGAAGATTATTTTGTTACTTGAAAACATTGACACTTACTGTGATGTTTCGTAATTTCTGGAACATAACACCTGCGTTAAAGAATAGTTTTTGGTTAACCAGCGTTCGCTTTTTGACATCTTTTGGGTACCATGAGTCGTCCTTTCCATAGGTGTCAGCTAGGTAGGTGAGGATAGCGTGGCTGAAAAATAAGAATACGAACTATCAGCAATCTTTGGAGATTTATGCCAAACACTCAAGATAAGACGAGGTTTTTGGAAAAAAATAGAGTGTAATCAATTTAGGTTAAGGGTCTGTGGTGTTTTTAATTTGCCGTGATGGGTGAGGTGACTTTCCATCATAAACTTGTATTTCAACTAATTGAAGTAAGTTGTAAGTGGTAAAGAAACTATCGAGATTGCTAGTTTGATCATTTAAGTAAATATAATTTAAATAAACAAACCTGTCATGTATAGTTATATCACCATCTTCTAGTACTGGTATCGTATGAAGAGGATTTTTCTGTAAAAAAATAATGAGATCTTAGACTTCGAAAATTATTCTTTGATCATGTAATGGATATTAGGTCCTCTTGTTGATGATTATTAAGAATTATGTAGATTCTATAATTTCGATTCAAAGTGTTAATGCTGAAATATAATCAAGTCGATAAACAACTTTATCATATTAATTAGGTAGAGATACAGTTCAGTAAAATACATTTGCATACAAATAATTATTTTAATAATATGAAAACTATAATTAAATAAATCTTACTTTTAAATATTCTGGAGTTAAATGTTCACCACCTTGCACGTTGACAAGTATCTTCTCGAATGGCACGTTAAATACACCAAGAGCCATCATGCATGCACGCACTGGTGGACTCATGTCCAAAGCGTATAGTTTGACACCCATCTGGAAAAAAATATCAAGATTTTCTTTAAAAATAAAATGGTTACCTAAAAGCAAGATATCGACAGAATTAATGTTGTTCTATTTAGTTTTGTTTTCTTTCCCAAAACATTCGGAGAATAAAATTATTTATTTTTCTTCTGTCCCAGTTACTTTCGTGTATATAGTAGACGAATTAGGCATTATTATAGAAAACGACTGCACTATTGGCACATCGATTGAATGACTCGCTATAATACTCAACCAGTCACAGGGTATTTTATCCAGATTTAATTTGTTTGTAAACACACATAAACAGATCGACTAGGCTTAAAACATAAGTGATAACTCACATTTTAAATTTCACACTATCAAAAATATCAACGCGACACACTACAGCAAATCGCACTTGATAACTGGCGATGACAAGGTCAGCGTACTATTTATATGGTCAATTTCGACTACATTTATCTAGTTATCTTATTATATTTGTCTTGTTATTCAATAGATATCGGAAGATTTGATTACAAACACAATTAGACTTATAGAATGGGTAAACTTATCTATGTGCGATTACGTCATTCGGATGAACATGACTTGCATTTTTTTGTTGTGTGTAATCAGAAGATGCCTCTAATCTAGTACTTTACTGCTATCTACTATATTACCTACCTACTTAATTTTAGACAGGTAGTTATTAGACACATATAGGTAACTTACTTTTCAATTTCCTACAAAAATGTTAAACAACTCTGTTTGAAAATTGACATATTATATCAATATATCGTACTAAGTTACATACCCGTGTGAGAGTTTTTATAATTCAAAATATTCTGTGCAGTTCTTGCTCCATATATGAATCCAGGACTTCGTGCCCACCACTCGATCAATGAGTCAGAGTTTAGAGACTGTAATTTAGAATTATGTTAGCATAATTATGATACATAGGTCAATTACATAGAAAAAAAATGCACCATCATTCGTTATAATTCACTATGAGTGTATTTATAGGGTAAACTGTAAATAGTTTCCGTACTTACGTGTATAATTTTATCCACTTGTAAAGAAGTACAAATATGTTCATTTAAAATTCACTCTGTGAAAGTTTGTATTACTAATAATTTTTTAAGCAATAATCAATCGTCTATTATTGCCGTACTTAGGTACGATTCCAAATTCCTCAACGTAAAATACAAATAAAGAGCAGACTTTTGTTAGGTTTTAGTAAAATTTCCCAAAGAAAAATCGAACTCTGTAAAAAACCGGAATAACTAAACTTCAAAGCCCTAAGTAATTGGTTCCAATAAAAGATCACCAAATATCCAAAATAAAATATTAAAAAATATTCAAACCACAAAATATTATTCCCCTTGTTAAAAACGCAACAACTGCAACCATTGCATCGATCGTTCATTATAATTCCACACACGATTCAACCGTAATATATCTCGGCACAAAGTTTCTCTGCGTTTGCATATAGCATTGTATTAGACAGTTATAAACTTTGATAGCTTTGCCAGCTATACGCAGTCTCACAATGCTTAAAGTTGGACGTAGCAGACACAATCTCAGGAACAAGCCGGCAAGGCTCCTGTTTCCGTAGATTTCAACCGCGGCCTCCGAAATTAGCTGTTTTGTGTACACAGTAAGACAGATCTATATGCCTAAATGTGCTCAGATTTGGTGGTCTGTCAGTTTCAGATCTAATTTTAGTTCAGTTAAATATACATTATACAAATTCAAATTATTTAGGGGTATGTTTATTTGGTTTACCATACAGTTTTGAGTTTGCTAGCTCAGGAGGACGGGGCGCGTGGGGCCGAGATCAGCATCCTCCTCACAACCCAGCCGTCGCGAAGGACACTCCAGGCATCAGTGATCGCGATCTCCGGCCACCGTAAGTACGGGCCTGTGGAGGGCGAGCACAGGCAGCTCGCCGCCCGACCAGAATCAAACTCTAGTCTACGGCGCGTCGCATTTCGCTCGCGCATCAAAGAGCCATCAGACCACCACGAATGGGCCCCTTTAGGGCTCATGCCGATACGGAGCCGCGGAGAACGTAAAAGGTTACCGGGGCTCCGACTCGAAGTGCAGGAATAGGAATGGAGTGGTTTTTAGTCAATAAGAGTCTGATCCTCCCTCCCGCCTCAGCCAGGCGGGAGAAGGCATTCAATGATTTTCCCCTTAAAAAAGATTCTGGTCGAGCGTGTTCAGCCGTGCCATAGCATGACTCTTCCATGTAGAAAAATATAATTATGATCCACGTGAAATGAGGCAGTAGGTCATTCAGCAAACATTTTTTAGTCCTACATAAATCAAATCTAGATTCCTTTTGTACCAAAATATTATCTTCTATTCTATTTAGAATTATTCTTCAGAGTAACCATGGCGACTACCTTTATTTCTCTAACGGCCTAACGGGTAGCTATTCAATTTTTGCCGAGGTCTTTTTGATAGTTTAAAGATAGCCTAAGGGCTATTCGTTTCAAAGAAAAGTTGATTATTTTTTAATTGGTGCTTAAAACAGTATTGGAAATTGTAAAAAATTAAGGACAAGCGGTTTAAGTTTACCTATATTAATTTCTTTGCTCACCATTTTGTTACCTATAGGGCTGTAAGTGATTAAAAAAACACGTAGGCACCAACGTTAACATTTCCTAAATTATTATTTTTTAAGAATGTACTAATAAGTAAAATTATATTACACTCTCATATATATTATGAATAATAGTACCTACTTACATCTTGCAACATAAATAAAGATCACCATCATAATTTCCACTGAGTACCATGGGAAACTGGTCTAAGCTCTCAGACCCCCTTTTTCCCATCAGCTGAGTATAGTTAGTAAGGTTCCTAAGACAAATAGAATATAAAGCAGTTGCTCGCGTGTGCGCCGCCTATCAATCATCCGGAATGATGTTTACGAAGTGCCCCAACTTTATCTAAATATTTTTTGCCAAAACCTCTGTCTACTAGAGATCCCTGTTTTAGAAAATATGTGATAATGATCTAGATATTCGTGACTCTTTAGTAAATAGACTTTCGTTTAGCTTTTGCTTAAGAAATGAAGAAACGAACGTACGTCGATAAACATCAGTTTGATAGATTTGTTACTAAAATTGAAATTTTATTTACTTTCAGTTATTTTAGTAGCCAACTATCGTCATAGAGTGTCCAGTTGTCCTTCTATAAGAAAATTATTTTCAAAATGTATTTTACTGTTCCTCCTATTCAAAAATATTTTAAAGTTTGTTTTATATCAAAAATGCGTGGTAGTACTTCAATCAAAACCTTTAATATATGATGGCATATTGCATATCATAACACTATCATTCATAACATTCGTCAAAAACTTGCTGAATAATGTTTGTGTTCAGTGAAATTATATGGGGCCGGTGCTGGTGGCCTGATTATCTATGCTATATGAGTTGAATTCCAATTGGATGTAGAAACAATATGGCAAGTTTCAAAGGAGAGTCGAACGTAGTTATTTATAAAAGCGAGAGTTCAACTTCAAATAATGCAGTGTCATTAATTTCAATGCAGTTTTCATCTAGTATTTTATAAGAGTGACGTTGGGCAATGACCTAACCTTTTTTCTTAGAAACAACAATGATGATGTTAGCAAATAGGTTTGGAACAGTTCCCTATCGTAACGTATTTTTTTTAAATATCATTACATAATTATATATAATAGGTACTTTAAGATTGTGTTTATAATTATTATTTTTACTTATTAAAGAAAACTTAGGTTTGTATATCAAGGTTTTATATATTTTTGGATAATTGAATACTGAAAGCGTTGAAATTTGTGTTGTCAGACATATACGAGTGTATTAACTGACGATGATATTGCTTCCACACTATAATGTCATGATCATTTGGAATTCAGTGAAAGGTACCTGTAGGTATACAAAACTCTGAAGCAGGGCAATGTATCATATAAATACCTGTTTCAAAAACATTTTCAATTTTTGTGTCTACGGAACTCTAAGAAAGTCGGCAAGTAGGTACCGATTACTTATGAGCCGCCGACATACCTCTCGGGGCATTGTTTAGTTTCTTTTAGTCTAATTCACTTTCGCGAGTCCCTTGGCAAACATTCATCATAATTCTTATACAGGTAGGCACTTATAATTAAATTATTGTTGTAGGTGAGAGAATACAATGAAATTAGGCAAAGTGAAAAAATACAAGTCTACTTTTTTATTATATTTGTTGTATCAAAATGGAATTTTATTTTACAAATGAGATCAAAGTAAGAAAGGTATTAAGTAGAAATTGTGATGGATTTTATACATCATATTGCGTAGGTAAATCAGGTGAAACGAAATACGAACCCGTATATAATAACAATAATACCGTGTAGGGTAAGTTCGTCTGTTCACGTCCACCCACCAGTTTGCGTTCATGTTACGGATCCTCGCGCCGTTAATGTAAGGTACTGATAACATATACATAGACGCGAACAGCTAAATTTACTTTAATATTTTAATGATGTGTGGGGTGCAAAAATAGATGACTGACATACATACATAGATAGTTGTACATAATAAATATTATCAAAACTAATCAGTTCTTTATAAAACGAGCAATCTAAATACCTAATTACTTCTGCTAATGCTGTATCATGCTTCCGTTAGTCGAAATGATGATGTTAATGATGTTTCAACAGATAGTTACTCATTTAATGAATTGTTTTTTTTAACTATGTAGGTACTTAAGAACCTACATTTGAATCACGCAAAAAAAACAATCATATTGTGTTATGTTCGTCTGCTTCTTATATCTACCTGAATCTTTAAAGATTATAGTTTTATAGACAGTGCCAACTTTGTGTTTTCTGAGATTTAATATTGGCTGTAGAAATGTTTACAGAATTGTAGGATGTTGTAATAAATACGAAGTAACATATCATTTCTGATTGTTTCCCTTAGCGTTTCATATTGACGAACTTTACTTTGTCGAAGACATTTTAATTTCATTTAATAAAAATACAGAATCCGTTTTACTAATCTTCTTTGCAAATGCTAGAAAAAACAAATTTAATAACAATGGTTATAAACAATGTTAGACTGCATGGACAGGCTGCCGCGCATAGTGTAGCGGGTTCGATTTCTGCACAGAGCAACTCTATTTGTGATCCACAAATTGTTGTTTCGGGTCTGGGTGGCATGTGTATGTGATATTGTATGTTTGTAAATGCACCACCGGAGATAATTCTAGTGTGGGGCAAAGGTTTTTAAAGCAAAATACTTTGCAACAAAACACCAGTCGATTCCTTACAATATCTTTACAAATAAAATACATGCAAACATACTATATGTACAGAAACTGTAGGCGATAATCAAACAACCTATGTTCAGCCAAGACTATTAGGCACACAGCTTTCCCCAAAAACCAGTTACGCTAGTACGTGTTATGTGTCGCATTATAGCTGAACGTGACTTC